CCAAAAAAAAAAAAAAAAAAAAAAAAAAAAAAAAAAAGCCACGATCGTGATCTGCGGTGGCAATTCAGCAGGAGGTCCTTTGCTCCCAGCAGGAGTGAGGGACCGTCCGCCGAATTGCTGCCGAATAGCTGGACGTGCCGCCCCTCTCCGAAGTGGCCGCCCCAAGCACCTGCTTGGTAAGCTGGTGCCTGGAGCCGGCCCTGGCTTCATGGAGTGACTCTGGCATAGGGAAAAGTTCAACCTACTGAAAAAAATATTTTGAAAAATAAGTGAAAAGTTTCCTTGAATGGTTCAGGATTATTCTAAATGTATTAAATAAAATTCTGTTTGTAATTGTGCAATATAAACAAAATCATAAAACAAAGAAAATGTAAATTATGCAAGAAAAGCTACAAGAAATAAAGATTTCCTCATTTAGCAGACTTAAAATTCAATAACTGTTTTGTTTATAAAAACAACAAGGAGTCTGGTGGCACCTTAAAGACTAACAGATTTATTTGGACATAAGCTTTTGTGGGTAAAAAACCTCACTTCTTCAGATGCATAGAGTGAAAGTTACAGATGCAGGCATTATATACTGACACATGGAGAGCAGGGAGTTACTTCGCAAGTGGAGAACCAGTGTTCACAGGGCCAATTCAATCAGGTTGGATGTAGTCCACTCCCAATAATAGATGAGGAGGTGTCAATTCCAGGAGAGGAAAAGCTGCTTCTGTAATGAGCCAGCCACTCCCACTCCCTGTTTTGTTTATGCGTCATCTTTTTATTGGAATGTGATCACCTACCATGAAATATAGCAGAACATGGCCAATTTCTCTGTATATATCTGTGTTCACAAAGCCAAGTATACTGAAGGTCAGTGGGGACTCTGAATAGCACAGCTAACAGACAGTTCAGATGCTTCAGTCCTCAGAGACTAATCAGCAGCCCTGATGCTGGTACAAAGGCCAGGAACCAATATGAAAAGGTTTGAATGATCTTGCTCTCTTGAGCAGTGAGTGAATTTTTAACTATTCTTTGTGTATTTATGAAACCTTATACAGTAATTACATCTTACTAATAATTTGTGAAAGCTTTAAAATATAGAAAGTTAAATTCTAATGAACTAATATTGGTATGAGTACATATCTCTATTGTGGCTAAAGTGCTTTTTCTAAGCTAGAGAATAACCACAGGCCCCAATAAGAAAATTGAGGCCACTGTGTTTTTCAATTTACACTTGCCTGAACTTTATTCTTAGCCTCTTCTCTTTCCTTGCAGCCTCAGGGAACAGATGGGAAAATTAAGCTGCAAGGCAGTAGCTGAGGTTATTTCTGGGCCTAGAGTAGACCTAAATGTTTTTGTAGACCAGGAGGCCAGAATTGAAGGGGACGGGTTTGGTGAATGACAAATGCACCTATTTTGATATACTTATAATTTTTTCTAATTTTGCCTTTTTATTTAGACATTACCACAGGATTGTCTAAACTTCCTTCTATTTAGTACAGAGAACATCTAAGGAAGAGTCAGGTAACATTAGTGATCTTAGGAACTGAAAAGTTTTAAGGGTGGTTGCTGTACATTCTGCACTATATGCTTCATTTATCTTCTGTAGTTTCACTGGCAAAAGTGGAGCAGTGCAAGCCTTGCACTACTTAGCAGAGTTATCCCGGTTATGCTCAGGACAACAAGGGGCATTGTGTAGTGTGGTGAGGTAAACCACTCCACTGTACATTGATATTACCTGTTTCATTTCTGCAAGAGTGCGCTGAGGCATTGGCTGGTAGTGGGGGAAAGACTTTTCAGGCCACACTTGTACATCACAGGTAGAATCTGGCCTTGGTTTTATTATAACACAGAAATGTCTGTCAATGGTTGGCTGAGCTGTAGTTCTAATGGGAAATTTGAATAATTTCAAACTTTTAAGTGTAATAGGGCACATAAATTTCTATAACGAGATGAAATCAATGGGAATCTGGCAATAAAGGAGTGTAAATAAAAGCATTCCTGCTCAAAATAGTTGGAACTGAAGAGGCATTGTCAATTTATTTAGGCCAGAAATTTGACGTTCTTTAAAATTGTCGCAGTCTGTTGATGATCGCTTCTGGTTTCCACATATCTGTGTTGTTTGGGAGTTTTTGTGGGTGATTTCTAAATCCACCATTTTAGTTGAGGAAACCACAGAGGGAAAATAAACCAATCACTTAAACCAATATGTGAGATTGCCTTAACTTCTCTATACTGAAGAAGAGTTGATACTTACCCTGATTTTCATGGAAACTTACTTTTTTGATGAACTGGCCGGGTCCCACTTCCTATAAGCTGGAACATTGCAAGTTATTGCAAGTCTCTTATCATCACAGCCAATGCTGGACTTTACAATATGGTGATATTAGCATTCCATCACAATATGATGATGCAGTGACAAGGTATTATAATTCAAATGTCACAGTGCTGTGATGTGATTATTTTGTTCCAGGTAAGAGTTTTAAAGGTATCAGCTCTAACAATTAGCTAGCTGTAAACATTTTTGCAGATGATGTTGATGCCCAGAGAGGGAGAGAAACCAAAAAACAGCTGTTTTGACACCTGCATCTCCAGAAACACAACAAAATAGAATGTTTGCAAGGACAAAATCCGCTAGGGAAAGGAATCTTGTTTTAAAATTGGTAAATGGGTATGAGGTGCACCAAAGAGTAAACAAAATATGAAGCATTGAAAAAAAAACAGTTGACAGAGTGGCTTTAAATACAGGAATTCAAAGTGGATATTACTTATTGTATTTGATTTGGCTGTGTATGTGAAATATGACTGATTTTATTCAGTCCAGAAATGCAAAATGAGTGGTTAGAAAAATGTAAAGAAATGACTGCAGAAAATTACACTCTTCATGATTTACTTTGAATTGATCATATTGCAGCCTACTCAGTAGGCTTGTAGTTCCAGAGGGCTTGTTATCCTGAGCACCTCCACAGGGTGAGCTGTTTGTTTCACAGCATAGGGAAGTATCATTTTCTTTCTGTATATCTCTGGCCAGAGAAGTGGAATGTACAGTGTATTGCTGAGATAGTTTGGAGCCCCAAAGCGAACGTTTATTGTTTTGGACCAGTCCAATATCATTATATTCTGGATATTAGTTGAAGGAAAGGACTGGACTGGCACTCCCTGTCCCCAAAATACCTGTAAAGGAAAGACAAGGTGAGAAGAAATGTTGGACAAGACAAAAAGAGGCTGCTAAAGGGAAAGAACACTTATCTTAGCTTTTGGGTATGTAGGAGTGACCCACCCTTTATCAAACATACCAAAAAGTTTCCTGTGGTTTTTAGCCTTACATTTTTATTATGTGTTTTTAATTTAATTTGGAATTTTGAATAGAATAAACGTTCTTCACAGTTACACTATTAGTAGTTGGTATCTCATTGTGTTAAAACAGTATTTTGTGTGTGTGTGTGTGTGTATACGTGCGTGTGCCAATGAAAAGTATGTCTTCGTAGTTCCTTTACAGGAAGAAATAACACAGTTAGATATTAGAAAACTGGAGCCTTTTAAAGTGATTCAGTTGTCCAATAACATGCTACAAATCTAGATGTTGCAGAACTTAGTGAGGCCTAAATTCCTTCGTGAATCTGTTGTACTGAATGTAGTCTGAATGTTATTTCCTGCTAATTGTATGCACCCAGCAAAACCTACAGCCTTGCTCTTCACCTAAAGTAGTCACAGTCCTGAAAACCTAAACCAATACAGACCGATCACTAGAGTTGAAAAGAACAAACAACTGGTCCTCCTCTTCTGTAACAGTAGGCTTTGTAGGACCTAAAAGTCCCCACCCCCACTCGCAATTTTAATGTAAAATGTGTCATTTAACTTTGTGTATCCCAAAGAATCATCTCATAAGCCCCTCTACCTCTCCCCCCCATCATCAGGCTATCCTCTATATTAGTGGTGGGGAAATGTTGGAAAGGAGTGTGTTTTTATATATATATATAGTTGTCGTACCCCCCGTTAAAATGTATGTATGCATTTATTTATTTATTTTAATGTGGACACACAACAAAATGTTTTGCAGGCTTGCCAAAAATGTTTAGTCTGACTCAGCATCTGTGGAGTGAATAACAAAACAGACTGTGACTGTGATCTAATTTCATATAGGTGCTATGTTGGCTGTGTGTTTTAGACGTTGAAAGAGTAAGTACCAGGTAGAGTGTGTACATAAGGAACACACTGTGTTTCAAAGTTGAAGTATACCTGACATTATGATGTCAGGACAGCCTGGAGAGTAAATTGTGCTTTTCATGCCTTTGCTTCAGAACCAGTTGTTCTATTTCTCTCCTGCTGAAGCAGAAAATTGAGTAGACTGATTTCTTTCTTGTCTCTTAATAGAGGACAAAGTTACATTTTTAGGAAATGTGATCATCTTATATGCAGTAGTATATATTTGGAGTCCTTTTGGCTAATCTTACAGTCTCGCCTTCTCGGGTTTGGCTGCTGGAAATATTGTAGGGGGCAGTTGGTTATGCAAGTCAGAGTTAATACTGATTGTGTTTATTTATTCAGTAACTGGATTTTCCCCACTACACTCAGTACACATTTCTCAAACTTGTTTTAATGATTATCATGGTGTTGAGGGCTAGACCTAATGTACGT